GGGGGGGACAAAAAATATTACCTGTTGTTTAACAAAAGATGTCTTTCTTGCATGAAAGTTAAGATGGATAATCATTTTTAAGTATATGTAACAACAAAGGAAACCCCTCTACACTTCTACTGTAAACATTTTTTGTAAATATGTGGCTAAAATAAAACTTCATTGTTATCTTCATGTTTCAGAGCCAAATGTAAGTTGGATTTGCCTTCAGTTTTGGAATATGCAAAAGGTCAATCTTTACTAACTTCAGTCTAAAAATGCAATTGGTTCCGAAGTTGTACAGTTTAGCTGGGAACTCTTGAAACTGACTTACACTCCTTTGGATTTTTTTTCTTCTTGACTCATGTTACCTGTGCACATCAAGATGAGGATGTAGCTCTTTGTCACTGAATAAACTTTTGCATATCCTGTTTAGTTCATGAAATGATACATTTGGTTTTACACAAACCCTGTGAAATATACCCGACTCAAATATGAAACATGTTTTTAAATAGTTGGAAGCCCACGCTTCTTTTTGCCATAGGACTACAAGTTACAAATCTTATTTTTTACAGTAATAAAATGAAAACTTTAAACTCTGTGTGTAAGAGTTTCTGGAAAATTGAATTTAACAAATCTAACTGAAAAACAAATGCCAGTCTGAGTGTCTATTTATATGACTTAATTGCTGTTTTATTTCAGTCATTTTTAAATTATTTATCCCGTCAATCATGAAAGCAATTAGGCATCTTAGAGCATGTATCTGATCTGGACTATAATTTTCTTTGGCCTAAATTGAGATAACTGAAGATTGCATATTAAAGTGCGAGTAGTGATTTTTCTAATTTTGTTGGAATGTCTAACATGCTTTTCCAATAAATCTAGATTCATAGTATTTTTCATCTAAAGTGAGCAGCAAGTAGCTTGTATCTGTGCAAACGTTGACTTTAGCAGTTTCTCAGAATTTTTTGACTCAAGTAGCTATAGTCTCATCAATCTAATAAGTGATTCTTTTGCAAAGTTAGAAAATACCAAACTAATTTTTTATAATGTTTTTAAGATGGGATAAGCCATCACATACAAAATATACATTTTTGGAAGTACGTAGTTTAAAAACATCTTTGCATATGTGGTGGGTTTTCCAGTTGTAGATGTATAAAGCACCAGGGATTATTTACTTTGTTTTCTTCTGGGGAACAAGGTAGTGGAAGGTAAAATGCAAAACACTTTGGGAACAAAATGAATAGGGCAATAGCCTGGTAGCCCAGTGCATCTTTTAAGTTTAGTCAGTGCGCATTATGGCTTTTTAATTTTAATAATGAAAGAACTTGGTTGTGGGTTGGGGGGTTTTTTTTGGTTTGTTATATTCCTGATGGCATGTGTGTTAATTTACAAACAGGACTAAATATGACTTGTGGCTCCTACCTCAAGAGAAGAATCAATTTTAATTGCCCCTGTGTATCTGTTCTGTTTCAAGCAACACCTTTCTAACACTAGTGAAATAATTTACTTTCTGAACAACCAAATGGGCTTGAAATACTAGTCTGCATCATGGGAATCAAGTAACCTTTTTTTATTTAATCAGACAATGTTACTTCATTTACAATAGATGTGGAAAAATGCTAAGGTCTTGACTCTTGTCTTCTAAAAGGTTATCTAAAGTGCAAAAGCTGGATTGTACCACATGACTGTTCTGTAGTCATTTTGGAAGAAAATTGCTTGATAAACTTATGCCAAGAACCTTCTTCCACAAGAACTTTGGACAAAATCTTTAAGATGGGACAATGTCTTGCTGTTCCATGATCTCTCAGCCCTTCAGTGAAACACAGAGGTCTGCAATTCACATCACTTCTACTTGAATTCACAGTTTTACATCAAGTATCCGCACAAGTGGTGCTCGGTTTTTGGTCAGGAATGAGACTGACAAATGTACTACTCAACTGAGAGGGGACAACATGGTGTGTAGCATTTAGCAGTCTGTATCCCTCAAGGTAACATAGTCTTAAAGACAAACATCGGTTTTGCCAAGTACCTGGAAGTGGTGGGGAAGAAGTAAAAACTACTCCTTAGCCTTAAGTGTTTCTGTCATTGCAAAAATGTATCTTCTGTAACAGAAACATATTTGGAACATTTCCTCTTTTAAATGTAATTTATAATTGCTGCGTTAAGGCTCACTAACAGATCTATCCTGAACAGATGAATACTGTAAATACACTTGTCATACCTTGAATAAATGAGTACTTTTTTCTATTAATTGTTTGTCTTTTTATCTTTTAACTGCCATGTCTTTGAAGAAAATATTCTATACCATTTTGCTTGCAGGAAGAGGTACGCTGCAGTTCTTATCTGTGTTGCTGGATTGCATAGTGGAGCATATGGAGTCTGGAATGAGTGTCTTGTATTAGATCTTTGGAATGTTGTAGCTATGTTGGTCCCAGGATATTGGAGAGACAAGGTGGGTTAGGCAATATTTTTTATTGGACCAACTTCTGTTGGTGAAAGAGACAAGCTTTTGAGCTACACAGAGCTTTGTGTAACTGGAAAGATATTTCACCCACCTGGCTCTTTTTTTGTATTAAATCTGTCAGACAAGCATTTCTTAGGCTAACGTAGCTGAAGTCGAAGTACCTTAGTTCGAACTTACCGCCGTCCAGACCCGGCAGGCAGGCTCCCCCGTCGACTCCGCATACTCCTCGCGGCGAGCAGGATTACCGGAGTTGACGGGGAGCACTTCTGAGTTCGATTTATCGCGTCCAGACTAGACGCGATAAATCGAACCCAGAAGTTCGATTGCCTGCCGCCGAACCAGCGCGGTAAGTATAGACAAGCCCTAAGGTAGGCATCCCCTTGCTACTGTTAATATCATCTTGGCATTTAACCGAATTTCTTAATTGACACTTTTTACAAGCAGCAGTCAAAGAAGCAGTGTGGTCCAGTGGTTAAGGTACTCAGCTGAGACTCAGGCCTATATTCCATTCCTTGCTGTCACTGATCTACTGGGTAACTCTAGACAGCTCACTTCCCATCTTTCTGTTACCCTAAATAGACAAAGGCTGAAAGAGGAATGTTTACACAGCAAAGGAAAACCCCTGGATGGCCCGTGCCAGCCAGCCGGCTTGGGCTGCAGGGTTGTTTAATTCCTGAGTAGACTTTCAGGCTTGGGCTGGAGCCCAACTCTGGGACCCTCCCGCCCTGCAGGGTCTGAGTCTCACACGCCTGAGTCAGCTGGCAAAAGCCAGCCACAGATTTTTCTTTGCTGTGTAAACATACCCTTAGATAGTTCCTGCCCAAGAACTGACCATTTCTGTGCTTCTACAGTGCCTAGCACAATGTGGCCTCACTCTGTCTCTAGGTGCTACTGTAATATAAATGCTGTTTGAATGTAACAATTACTGTATGATGGAATGTTTTAATGATATAAATGCTAAACCTACTTGTGGCTCATTGGCATTTAACAGCACTAAGCAACTGTGCTTGATGCCTTGGTTTAATTTGAGATGGGTAGCATGTCCCAACTATGACCATGGCATGCCCATAGCTATGTTTCTAGCTGCAATGATGCCAAGAAACTTGTCTTGCATCTAAAGTAAAGATCTAAATAAAGACAGGGCTATCTTAGAATAACAATTACATAATCATTTCTTGACAAATTCCATGTGGCCCCATAGCTACAAAATATCCATCTTTTTTTTTTCTGAATTGCCTGACTGAAATACCTAACAGGCAGGGCTGAGGAAAACAGAACCAACAGTGTCAGACTAGCTAACTTAACTGTTCTCCAAAATGGGATAAATGCTTAGTTTGGTTACATCTCTATCTCTATAATGAGGACAATGTGAATGTATGGCTCAAAATACAGATTAAATGTTAATTAAAACCAACCATTGCTGATACAAAAAAAAATCTTAATTTTGCTCTTGGTACCTCCATCCCTTTATTAGAATGGGAGGTGGAGAATAGCCTAAAGAAACTACAGAATTTCATGTATAACACTTTTTTAAAAAATAGGAGGACCCAATTTGACTCACTTTCCAGGTTGAGGCTATACAAATATACTATTTAAAACTTGAATAAAATACCTATTAGGGACTATTTGGCATAGCTTTTGCAGCCCCCACCAATAATAAAAATAAGGGGGGATTTATGCTGTGAATTTTGCAAAGCATATCATAACCCTGTGGTTAATGATCCCTTAAAGAAGAGCATTTCTAAGTGTCTCAGCACTCAAGCGAAGTCACAATGTCTTGGGTTTTGTTATTTACGTTGTTAGACAGGGTACTGTCCTGTAGATTGTATTTCAGGATAAACATACATTATGCTCCCTAGGCTAAGGGATCCTGCTCCCCAGTGATCTTCTTTCCACCATGCTAATTTCAGAGT